ATTGCAAATGAGAGACAGATATCAGCACCACACGCGAGTCCCATAGACATTAGGAATGAGAACATTTAATTCCACCAAACTACCTGCAAGTGCTAAATTACTACTCACACAGGTCAGTTTATTTGACGAATTAAACTTGAGGTAACACAGCGCTGTTTCACTTGGTCTAATATTACACCATCATACTAAACAACAGTTGAGTGTGTTGAAAGTTATGTTATTCTATTTGTTAGTTTGTTGGCTATATGAGACTAGCAGTCTAGTAGTTGATCAACACTGCATAAGTTAGACCCTTGCCCATGCCACACTACAATGGGCCATCAAGAAGAGGCGCCGATGTACAAATAGTTGGAAACATCTATTCAACTAAACAAAATATCTAACATTGCCCTAGTGGTTTTTGGCTATTTTACTGCAAAAATCCTGCATATTGCACCTTTAAGTATTTTAATTTTTCTTTACTGAATGGATTTCTCCAAACTACATTAAAATAAAATCCAGGTTCTTATACAGTTCATTCATTAATAAATAAAGTTTAATTTTCAATGTAAGTTGATCTTGAGGATCTTGCAAGCTGTAAAAAAAACCCTGTCTGTTTGAGGTACAGTAAATGTACAGTTCAACAAATGCTGCCTTCTCACTCACTGCATTGCTTTTCATCGTTTCATAGAACAATGCAAATGAAGACAGCGCCTCTCAGCAGCACCTCTGCTCTGCGCACCAGTCTTTGGCGGTTTTACGCAGGAGCGAATGCTTCAAGCATAAACAACTCGTGCATGTCGCAATTTAGACAGCATCCCATAACAATTTCATCTATATGGGGAATTAAATACTTTGATTGATCGAATGAAAACACGACATGCAATACTTTATATTCAATATAGCTACAGAAATCATATAACTGTGATCACTAATATTCTTCAGTAGTGACTTTGATAGGGACATGTCCCTATATTCTCCATTCCCAAATAATGATCTCAGCCCTTACATGATCAAAGTTCAAACCATCCATATAATCTGTGAAGTATGATTTTGAAATCTCCTCTTTGACCGTGGTATTTATGCATTTTTCAATCGTGCAGCTCACACTTTCAATCAACCCGAGTCCACCTTCCTTGTGAAAAGAAGTGCACTTAATTGTATTGAATGTATCGTAGTGTAATACAAATTATATAAAAACGTGTTGTTGTTTTTTTTTTTTTAAGTAGGTTGCAGATCATATAATATGAATTAAATGAAAGGTCATTATTTAGTTTTACCATAAATGATTGCCAGTTAATTTGGTAATAATTCTGAAATTACATATAGGCCTGGTTTTACAGACAGGGCTTAGAGTAAGCCAGGATTAGGCCTTGATTAAATTGGGGCATTTGGGAAGAAAACATTAAGAAAAAAAACCATTACTGGTGTGCAATCTGTGCATCTTGCGACAAAACGATGGCATTGACATTTTTGGGTTAAAACAGCTCAAACATTGTAATCAGCTTAAGCCTCGTCTGTGAAAACAGGGGATAAATATGTAATTAAATTCTACTTAAGTACATGCATTTAATATAAATCCGAACTATAATACATTTTCATTAAATTGCAATTAACATGCAATTACGTGTTCAAAAACATTACATTCAGTTTGCACTTAATTATATTCCCTTAAAGTATATTTCCATAATACTTACTTTTTTGTGTAAAGTGTACTTATTTTTCCACAAGGGAAGGCCACAATCTACCCCACCCATTCATAGCTACCAGAATAACAATGCTAAGAAAAAAAAATGAAACATTTCTGAATACATAGTGTGAAAAATGCATTATTATTTCAAAAAGGAACACTTTGATATGAATAGTGAATTGAAATGGATCACGGACCACAAGTTTGCCTCATAAGGGACTTAGCATTCAGGATGAAATAAGAGATCAGGCACATAACAGGTCTTCTGGCCTCCCCACAGCCATAAATTGTGTCACATGGGCTTTATAAAACTGTATGTGTCTGAAAATGTAATCTATGAATCTGCTTTGTTCAGTATATCTGATCTCAGCACAGTGCGGTTAGAGTCAGCCGAGTCCTGAACAACTGTTCTCAGCAACAATATTCTGTGTCACATTGATAAAGAACCTCGTCATTACTGCGGCCGTTCCCAATCTCCCATTCTGCAGGGGCAGATCCCCAGGAAAAATGGTTCTATTTTTTGTTCCACGATAGCTGAAAATTGTTGGAACATTTGTTGGAAACACAAACGGTCTCTGAGGCCCAAACTGATTCCATTATGTGATGGCAATCTCCTGTGAAAAGAGCAGAGTTAGCACTCCACTTACCCACAGGGACTGTGTGTGTGTGTGTGTGCGTGTGTGTGATGGTTTTAATGATGGTGTATGTTCTTTCTATCTGTGTTCAAGTGTGTGAGAGAAATCAGAATACCCGTTTGATCGCTGCAAAGTATCTGATGCAACTGAGACACAATTTGTTCCTCTTCAATAATTTAAAAACACACACACACAAACATTCATTTAGGGTTATACCGATAATGATGATAATAGCATTATTAGAGAAATGAAATATCGTGTTAATCCTCACGCTGTGTTAAAATCACAATAATACCGTTGGTGTTCCTGGTCAAAATGACCGGCCTTTTAAAATTTCCTTGTGAATTGCTCGTTATTATCACCAAATTCAATCCTTCTGCCAACTATTTTTTTTATTTGGAAAGGTTTTCTATTTATTTTTAGAACTGATTGGTCGTATTGGCCTCATTGATCTGAGCTTATGCACCTATCCTATATTACATTATATTGCATGAGGACAATTTTATTTTTTATTTATTCTACAGTATTTAAGAATGTTTAGATATTTTTACAATTATTCTAGCCTGTTGAATGTTAAAATGGCATCAAGAAAAAAAAACATGGAGGGACACAAGCCATTGATACCAAAATAAAATAGACTCAATAGTCCAAGTTAAAAGAGGACCCTAGTGGAAAAAGTATACTTTATTGTATTTGAAGTACTTTTTCAATAGTACATTGCAAATATACTACCAAAAAAAGTACTATCTTTGAATATATTAAAAGTATATTAGCATCATGCCTTTACCTATTTTCACAATACAACTTAACACATTTTAAAATAATTGTACTTCAGTATATTTTCTCTCTACTGTCCTAATAAAAGGTGAAAACATAAAAATATATATATATATATATATATATATATATATATAGCAATTGGGTAACCCAGCACCCGGAAAGTGTACCTTCCATGGGGGCATCCAAAAGCCTTCACCTGCTGTTTGCATTCCATTGATTCCCATTCATTTTGGCATCACTTTGACAGCGAATAACTTTACATCTGAGACGTTTAAAGACACCATTTGTCCAATATTTATTCCTAAAAAAAGGAATTAATTCTGTTCCTTTTAAAAATTTATAATAATTAAATTACGAATAAATATTTATTTCTATAAAAGGCTCCATTACCTTGTATCTTACGTTATGGCCCCGTAGAAGCCATTTTTGTAAAAAAAAATAGGCTAACGATTGTGTCATAACCACGTGACTCTCTGTCGCACAGTAGAGAAATTACCGTATAGACACGAGGAGAAGCTTGCAGGCAATCGGGGGGACATGGAGGCATAAAGTCAAGGTAGAAGCCCATAGAGAATGGACAGCTCCTACTCACGCTCTCCGTCTCTGCAAGACTTAAAACTGTCAGACAGGTTGCTCACGTCACATCTACGTCATCAAGCTCAGTTTGAGCCAGCACAGTACACTCAGCAATCAGGAAGTGAGTGCTTCTAATTGACTTCACTTTTCTCCGTTGACGCTGTGTCCATTTCTTTTACTGTCTATGATAAATACACTTAAGGTATATTGCTTGCATGTTTCAAAGCCACTCATAATGCATGTGTAATGTACTTGTAAAACAAATAAAGTACAAATATAATATTACTAATCAAGCATGTAATTAGTCCCTACACAGGTTAAAGTATACTTGAAGTTGATCTAATTTAGTACACATAAGTACACTAAATACACTTAAAGTTGTGCTTTACTACAATTCAATTACAACTAAAATATACTTAGTACAAAATAAGTTGTTTCAAAATAGCACACCTCAAGTTAACTAATCATTAACACACTTGAGCTTGAGGTATACTGATAATTAATCTTTTTTCTCCAGGGTATTTAAGTAATCTAGCAACACTCAAGAAACTACATTACACTAGCAACTGCAAATCAGTGCTCTAAAAACCACTCAGAACACATTAATGACAACGTAGCAACATCCTGGCAACCACCCACGAAGCACTAACATGTTCAACAAAATATACAAATCTAATGTATCCATGTAATGCATTGCAAATGTAAACTTTTTATCATATAAATAAAGCTTAAATCTTAAGGGAACTGAAATATGAAAGAGCATCAGTTTTCTATGAGATGATGAAAGAATGAGAGCACAAATCAGATCATTTGATGCCTCTGGATTTGAGAAGATTAAAATACTCTCATTCATTGTAAATATTAAAATTTGATGTTCCACAGAGGATTCGACTGCTGGTTTCCACCCATCATCCATGCTGTGACTATAAAAACAACATAGACTGAGGGAATGTGAACCGCTGCTCTATCATTTACCGCTACACAGCTGTGCTAACCGTAATTCAGCATTACACAAGACGTTTACTGTAATTAACCATTACACAGCCGCGTTTCTCTAAATCATTCTTCTATGCTTTGTAGTGTGTGCAAGCAACAGCTTTCTTATTCCCTGATCTGTGCACAATTTCACTGCCCTGTCAGGGACTTTTTGTAGGCACTTGCATTTTTCATCATTTCTTGACGGACAGCAATCTATGTGAAAATTCATTTTGTTTCTTAAAGCACTTCCATCTGAATTGCTCTTTCAACAGGGATCAGATTGAGGCTTTGAGACCTTTGTGATGGAAAAGCACTGTTAGACTGAGTTGTAACTTCCTCTGTTTGTATTTATGTGTTAACAGAAAGCCCGACTGGCCCGAATGAGAATTTCCAAGGCTGGCAGCTCTACAGCCTTCCTGCATAGCAAAAGAAATGGACTCAACCAATCACTGGAGCTAACGGTAAGAAACACACACACACACACACTTTTACAAATAAATCACAAAGCTCATTTTTTCCAAAAAATTTTTTTGTTTTTTGGCTCTCGTCATTTGTCATACATTATGCATGGTTTTCAACAAGATCCACACTCACCTAAAGGATTATTAGGAACGCCATACTAATACTGTGTTTGACCCCCTTTTGCCTTCAGAACTCCCTTAATTCTACATGACATTGATTCAACAAGGTAGAATCAATGTCATGTAGAATTAAGGGAGTTAAAGGGAGTAAAGATAGCATCTTGCAGTTGATGGAGATTTGTGGGATGCATGTCCAGGGGACAAAGCTCCCTTTCCACCACATCCCAAAGATGCTCTATTGGGTTGAGATCTGGTGACTGTGGGGGCCATTTTAGTACAGTGAACTCATTGTCATGTTCAAGAAACCAATTTGAAATAAATCAAGCTTTGTGACATGGTGCATTATCCTACTGAAAGTAGCCATCAGAGGATGGGTACATGGTGGCCATAAAGGAAGAAAACAATGCTCGGGTAGGCCGTGGCTTTTAAACGATGCCCAATTGGCACTAAGGGGCCTAAAAGTGTGCCAAGAAAACATGTCCCACACCATTACACCACCACCACCAGCCTGCACAGTGGTAAAAAGGCATGATGGATCCATGTTCTCATTCTGTTTACGCAGAAAATATATCGAAATTGAGACTCATCAGGCCAGGCAACATTTTCCAGTCTTCAATTGTCCAATTTTGGCGAGCTCTTGCAAATTGCAGCCTCTTTTTCCTATTTGTAGTGGAGATGAGTGGTACCCGGTGGGGTCTTCTGCTGTTGTAGCCCATCCGCCTCAAGGTTGTGCATGTTGTGGCTTCATAAATACTTTGCTGCATACCTCGGTTGTAATGAGTGATTATTTCAGCCAAAGTTGCTGTTCTATCAGCTTGAATCAGTCGGCCCATTCTCCTCTGACCTCTAGCATCAACAAGGCATTTTCGCCCACAGGACTGCCACATACTGGATGTTTTTGCCTTTTCACACCATTCTTTGTTAACCCAAGAAATGGTTGTGCGTGAAAATCCCAATAAGCAGATTGTGAAATACTCAGATCAGCCCGTCTGGCACCAAAAACCATGCCACGCTCAAAATTGCTTAAATGACTTTCTTTCCCATTCTGACATTCAGTTTGGAGTTCAGGAGATTGTCCTGAACAGGACCACATCCCCTAAATGCATTGAAGCAACTGCCATGTGGTTGGTTGACTAGATAACTGCATTAATGAGAAATTGAACTGGTGTACCTAATAATCCTTTAGGTGGGTGTATATTAGGCAGTGCTCCAGGTCTGATATAAACGCGTCAGGTTGTTTTGCTTTAAAAGTGTTTATTATAGATTCACATGTGGTGATCTGATCTGAAAGGATTAGTTCACCCAAAAATGTAAATTTTGTCAGTAATTACTCACCCTCATGTTGTTCCAACCCTGTAAGACTTTTGTTCATCTTCGGAACACAAATTAGGTTTTTTTTTTTTTTTATTAAATATGAGAGCTGGATCACTCCTCCATAGGCTTCTAAGGAATTGAAACTTGTTCAAAAGCGAAGCTTTTTCTACGCAGTTTGTCCATTCGTCCACACACAAACACACTGTCCCTGAAACCAAACTTTTTTGAAAACTGCCAGGGTGAGGATTTTTAGAAACTGTGGTTGCAGTGTTGTATTGTACATGGTGAAACCAAAGATTTTGGCTTTTGACGTCGGTAATCCATTACCAGTAATATGCTTTGCAGCGTTAAAAAACCAGCATTAGTGCTGTCAAATTAATCAAAGTGATTCTTGCTAATTGATATCTTCCTGGTGTGTACTATGCTCAATTATATAGCAGGGCTCTCAAGTTTTGAAGACAGGCCACAGGAGTGACAGAATCACATGAACAATTTCAGGAAATAATTCTTTTTTTTTTAGCATTTTTTTTCTTTTTTTTTTTGATTGGCTGATAAGTGGTAGGCTGGACTGCAGAACTCCAGGAGAGACGCACTTGATTCCTGCTGGTTCCATTGTGAGAGCGGCATGGCAAGAGACATTTTGAGCGCTGCAGCATATTAAATGTATTATAAACAGTTTTTACGTGAGATAAATACAAAAGACCGAAAAGAGTGACTGTGATAATAAATGCGTGACACTTGAGAGCTCTGATATAGCTAATGGCAACAATGTTGCAGGTGTGATGCACCGTATACAAACCGGAATGGTAAGCGTTTATACTTCTCATCCAACCACAATCAAATGCCCTCTATCTGGAAGGCGCGGTCTATCTGGATAGGTTTTTTTTGGGGGGGGTTTTAACGATGTCAAACTGAAATGAAAACAAGCCGAAATGCCATAACAGTAAGGAGGCTATGTATTAAAATATAAGGAGTAGAAAGAAGCCTACAGATACAGTAATTGTGTGAATAGCCTATCTAAATAGTAGAAGTAAAAAGTCGGCTGAAAAATAATTACTCCTGTAAAGTATAGATACCCAAAATGTGTGTTTAAGCAGAATACGAGAGAGAGTTATTTATTATAAATTCATAAAAGACCAAATACAGGAATACTGGCTTTCTAAACCTCAAAGAAATGCCACAATCAAGACCTCGGAGCAGAAATAAGTGCGAAAACACCTCATATGTGCCACTCACAGTATAGGAGTCTTTCCTTGCCATTAAAGCTTGGATAAGACGCTTAGGCCTACGTCCCTTAATCAGAAATAAGATAATAATGTCTAGTGCGGTGGCTGTGATATATATAAACCTACCAAGGTCCGTTGCCATGATTTTTGGAATGACTGATCACGAGAGGAAAAAAATGACGTTTTAGTCGCATAACAGTTTAATGGAAACGCCGTCATTTCGCAATAGTTTTTTATCGATATTTAGATTAGAAAAAAAATTGCGGGAATCTGTGATGGAAACGCAACAGCATTTAACATAGACTAACTTTTTAGAGTTATAGTGTTCATTATACTAACCATTCAACTACGGACTGATTCTGGAGGAAGAAGTACGAGCAACAATCCGTCCTCCAATGCATGTATGATCATGTTTTGATTCATATCGTGCTCGAAGAGGAGGGGCTATTCGCGTCTCTGTTGTCAGTTTGTGAGAGTGGGAGCGAGGGAAGGAGCAAGCAGCGCGCAGCTCTACAATAAAATAAAAACCTGAAAATCAATGCGTATGGGATGTATGGGAAACACTACCCTTTTTTCCAGGCTTCTGATTGGCGTGGCGTTATGGTTAGGGTTTTATCGCCACCTGTTGGTTTAGCATGCTCTTGACAATGCTTCATAACGTAAAAAATAAATGAAGGAGGAAAAACTCAGAAATAAAAATACGTGTGTACATGTGGACTAGGCCTTAGATTAGTCTCACAAGTTAGTCATCTATTTTTGTCTTCCAGACTGGTCATAACTTTTTTTTGCCCATCACATAAAAGGGTATTGGTCTAATTTGAATCCGAAAAGTGAGACTGATTAGCTTTAAAGGAGCAATGTGTGACTTTTAGCGACATCTAGTGGTTCGGTTGCGAGTTTGCACCAGGTTTGCACTAAGGGCTCAGCCCACTGCTCACCCCTCCCTTTCGAAGAAGCTACGGTTGCTAAAACGGGACAAACATCTCGTCGGCTGAGACAGCAGAGAATAGCCAGAGTAAGCCAAGAGTGTGTAACATTGTCACTGTTTCTGTACCACAGTCCATTATAAACCACATCATGAAAACTGTCTGTTTACAAAGCCATAGTCAGGTGAGGATCAAGGGTTTTAATATATAATTTAATAAAATAATAATCAGCTGATTGTCTCACAAACGTAACCAGCAGCACATTTCTCCCCACATACTGTAGCAAACCCATAATACAGCGAGGGAGCAGCTATATATTTTTTCTAACAGGGTAGTAATAGTTTAGCTGGCTAATATGAGCTGTTACTGTGGCTGAGCTGGGACGCGTCTGCATGAGTCCAAAGGTCGGAAGTGCGCGCGCTGTTACAATCATGTCATCTCCGCATCCCATAGATACTTTTTACTACACACAATAGGCTTTTTTTCTCTGATTTTTAAAATTCTTCGCGATCGACTTTAGTGATAAAAGACTTTAGTAAAAGTCTCTATCGACGGGTTAGTGATTCCTGTAACGTACTGTTTTACAGTCAATGACATGAATACTAATCATCAGCTGTCTCACGAACGTAACAGCACATCTATCCCCAACATAACAAACCCATAACACAGCGAGGGAGAACTAAGTTACATGAAACAATCCCAACTACATATTTTACACCACTCACAAGGGAAAAGTCACTACTCACGGAGTGTAAGGCTAGCTTCCAGCTTTCCGCTACTTCTCTTTCAAGGTAGTGATGAAACGCGTTCTGTAGCGCTGTTTGTTCGCGTTCGGCTACGGTAGGAATATGACGTCACAACATGGCGACCTTCATAGAAGGGGATTCCCTCGGTTATGGAGCTATTAATGTCTCATTCTAAGGTAATAAAAACATTACGGCTAATTAAGTAAGTTCTTTATACACCACTGAAAACATAGTTATGGATGTCATATTGCATTTCTGTTAATAGATACTCAACTTTGTTACACATTGCACCTTTAATCAACTGCTTGTCGGTCAGACTAGATCTAAAGACAGAGTCTATGCAACTGATCCCTGGTCTTTATTACTGCAGATGTTGGCCGCTAAAATGTCTTCCCAAAAAAAGAAACCGTCGAGTCTCTGAATGAATTTGAGAAATGAGGAACATGATGTGAAAGTGAACAGCGAGTACAGACAGAGACAGATTGCAGGCCACTCCACAGCTAACCAGTTTTACAGAACATCCTCAGAGAGGTACAGTGAGTGAAGTAGATGGGAACCTGACAATATTAAGCCTTATGTTCTGTTCTCAGACCTCAAGGCTGGAAATACATGACTTAAGAAATATATCACAGTTGCAATCGAATTTATTCAACCCTCATTGCAAAATGTACAGACTTTCAGCTATTTGCAATGTACAAATCGGACAAAGGTAATTGAAATAGCTCACCACAAAAAAATGTTTCAGTCCCTGAATTCAAATGAAAATGCTAACCTTACTTTTAATGACTTTGCGAATATACATCCATGGGATGCTTCTTCACCGTTGCTTTATCATGAATCAATACAGATTATGTACATTAACATGTGCATAGTCTCATACTTTTACACACAGCTTTAAATTTGGTAATGGAAACACTAAAATTTCATTCATAACATGCATGTTCATCCAAGTTCACATTTGACTACTACATACTTATCATGACGTCATATACATACTACTCACACTAACAGAGAAACAGAATGTTACTTCATTGAACTCCTGGACTATTGTATTCCTGTTAACATCTGATATTAAGAAGTGTTTTCATCAAGGTGTAAATGGGGTCTAAAACGTTTTGAGTTTGTCCACTTTTAACTACTTTATGAGGTAGTTGAAAACGCATTTGACCAGATTGTTTTCATAGTGTAAACGCTCAGCTCATGTGGTCGAAAAATTAAGTGGCAACCTTCCAGTCTCTCCTTTGAATCCAACACGGAAGTGACTTAAACTGCAAATCATCAACTGACCACTAGAGACAGGCTCCAAAAGAGAGTCAATCCCATATGAACTCCCATGTTAAAACTTCACAGCAGAAAAAGATTTTTACAGTCTGATACAAAAACTGGTATTGGTCTATATAGCTAATTTTGTTATATGCCTTTTTTTTGCCCTTCCTGACAACTGTGAGGGGGATTAAAACTCATCCGTTTAAATTATATTATGCCTTAAAGTACTGCATAATTAAGGGCGTGGCCACTTGAGTGACAGATGAATTGCAGCTGATGTCACTAGTCGTTTGTCTGCTGTTACGCCGACACATCACCTCAGATAATCCTGCCTCTTTGCCCATTTTCGTTTATTTGAGAGTGACGCACTGCCAAGATGACGAAAAAAAATGCTCTTCAGAAACCTAAGGGTGACGTCATGGACGCTATGTCCATATTATTTTACAGTCTATAGTTTGAACAGTACTTTCCACCTACTTATCTAATACATAAACATCTAGAAATCAGTACAGAAGTGGTAGAAAGTGGAAAAAAGAGATGCATTAAAACAGCAAGTGTAAAGCCGTATGTGTCTGCCTTGTCTACTTGTAATCCGATTGACCAAAATGCATCTTGATACAAAGTATAAACAGGGCCAAGGACTCCAAATATAAAAAGTAGTCAATTGCAATAGAAAAAAAAAATAGGTTTAAAATACACATCTGTATATGTATTTTTCCCTTAAAAAAGGAGGGTGAATCACAAAAACACTGAAAACCATGAAAAATGTGCTTAACTGTCATGAAAATGTCACAATGGGAAAATGTGTAATGGTCCTAAAAATAGGCTAAATTTCCTTTATGCAAAGTACGCTGCAAAGCAAAGCAGTCATTTGATTTTAGGGTTAATTTGAGGTTTCTTAATGCGATTCACCCAAGAATGGTCTGACTTGCATCAAAGAGAAAAGCTGGTTCTAGGTTAGCCTGTCTGAATAGCTCATAAATACCACACGCAAACATGCAGTCTGCTCAAAATAAGAGTACTCAGGGTTTGTTACAGTAAAACACCTAATTTTGCCCTCTCTTCATTTCTATCAATATCTTTCTTTTTCCTTCTGTCTCCCTCTCCTCCTACACATCACTGACTGACTCACTCATGTTATTTTGGTGCTCGCGTTGTGTTAAGACATGGAAAAGGCGAAAAATGTGGAGCAGTGTATGTGCGTTGAGCCGAAGGGCCCAGTGTGCGAGCACAAGCTCCCAGGCAAAAGTGCTACAATAAAAGAGACAGATATGTGAAGTTATAGTAACTGTAACAACGAATTTGTGCAACAGGAAAGTGGAATCACTCTGATTCGCCCAATCCTCTGAGGCCCCTCGTCCTTCCTTTCTCTCAGGCTTTGTTTATTTAAAGTTATAGATGATATATTGTACTGCTTTGTTATGGATGAAGTTCCTGCCAAAAGCAGTAAACCACTCTCCATGTCTCTCCCTCGCACTCTTACACAACAGCAGCTTCCCTATTACAAGATGAAACTTTCACCACAGGTACTGAGCCAAACAACACACATTCCGTCCCTCTCTCCACTTCATTATTCATGCATGAAATCTGATGATTCCTTAAAAATGTGTGTTTCTGCAGGGCTCCTTAGAGGAGGACCAGCAACTGAAAAAGACCACATCTCTGCTGGAGAGTCAACATCACCATCTTCTGCACTGCCTAGAGAAGACTACGGTCAGTTTGAAAGTAGTGATGGGCACTTTCCCAACACTGCTTCATTAAGCTTTACAAATCTTTTATATCGAAACCACAGCATGTATCAAAGTATAGCCTATGTGTGTATTGGCATCTTGCCAAGTAAAGTCACGTAATTTCAGCAAACAAGGCTTCGTCATACCGTTTCAAACGTTTCAAAGTTCTGACGGATGGATAAAAACAAAAAAGGAAAATTGTGATTTTTTTTCTCACAATTCCTAGATATATTCAGTTCAAATTGTGAGATGTCACTCGCATGTTTTGAAGACACAAAGTGAGAATTGTGACATAAAAGGGTTTTTCTTTTTTTAGTGGCTTCTATTGTTTCCATCATTGATTTCGTGAGCCCATGAATGGGATTTGGTATGTGATTTCAGTATGTTTATAGTGTAGGTTTATTTTTTTAATTACTGTAATGAATTTTATACATGTATAGTACAAAAAGGATAAAGTTAAAAAGTAAGAAAGATAGTTAATTGTTTCTAGTTGGACTAGTTTGCCAAGCCCCGCCACACAAAACAAGCACTAAATACATTAATAAAAGAACATACATAATACAGAATCTTATTTTTTGGAATTTAATTAGGCCCATTTGTACATTACATTTAATAGATTAGGCTACACTTTCGTGAAAACATTTACAACTGCTTATTAAAGGTAAAGGGTGTAATTATACATGTACATGTTTTTACCAGCAGGTGCAGACAGCGCTTCGAAACAGTGAATCATTTTGCAAAGAAATTGGTTCAACTAGCTAAAGCTTAATTTCTTCCAAAACTAGTTAAAAGCATTCCCTTGCTATCACGCCAACAAATCCAAAACTGGGATGTGTTGCAGCAAAACAAAACAAAACCCATCTTATCAGAACAATAACAGGAAATTGGCAATAAAAGTGAGGCTGCGAGGGATAGACATGCCTTGTCCAAATAACCACACTTGTGCACAGTATGGGCTCTATGCACGGTGGTATTTCCGGTGAAGGTCTAACGATGCTGGATTACCTCCGCCAATCGTAAAGTCCAATGCTATACCAAGAATTTATATTGTATTTTATACTCTATGGCTATGGCTATACTAAAGAAATGTTAGTCACAAAAACAGACAAAACGGACACCCCTCATTTTGTATATGCTTCTTTGTTTATTATATTAAATAAACATAACTATATATAAAATTACATCTAAACATATTTAAGTTTCAAAGACGAGAGGTCGATAATTTCAAAGACTGGCTTTCCTGGGTTTTCCTCCGCTTTAAATCTCCCCAACCGGAAACTGAAGTCAAATGCGGAACTTATGCATGCATATAGCCAATAGCCTATTTTATTGGTCCAAAGATGAGTATGTTTATGTTATGTGTAGGCCTATTTTGTACAACATTTGGGATTGTTTTATCACTTAATTAGAAGCACCAAAATTTTAAAGTTGTCTTCTGTTAGTTTCATAGCAACTATACTTTACCGAGATGTAAAAGTTTGTTTGAAAATGCAACGTATTGAAAATATAGCAAATAAAACTCTTTAAACACTTGCATTTTATGCCAAGTGTCCCATCGAGTAATCAAATCAAAAGTTCTACACACACTTGCAGTTTTTATGCCTAACGTTACTTGAACACTTGGCCAAACAGAGAAAATACGTCATGCAAGTAGACAGCGGTCAAGTGCAAAGACCGCAAGTGTGGGAACTGGGAATTGATATCTTCAGTGAGATGTAGCCTGCAATGTGTATTTGGATTTTTTCTGCTGACGAAACACTGCAAATATATCTTTCCAAGAAATTTCAATAGACAGAAAAACTGCAGGCAACATGAGCCGTGGGGAAAAAAGTGATCTTGGAACATACAGTGGATGCCATTGGAAAAAAAACGGTTAGTCTCTCACTCTCCGCCTCGCTTTCAAACCTGTCATGGCGGTAATGGCGCTGCTCTGAATAAGGGTCTATTCACTCACGCGCACTTAAAAACTGCAGAGTAACGTAAATACCTTGCTTGTCAATGACATCCGCGATGCTTCTCCAGACGTCACGCTCTTTTCGGTGCCTTGAGGAACTTCAGTCCTATGTCATGACTCAATGTTTTTTCTTCAACACAATCACACCTCCTTCTCTTTAGGAGCGAATGCGATCTTTCGGTCCAATCAATATTTTGTTGTGGGTGGGGCTACCTGACGCTACCCCGCAGAAGTAACGTAGGCCTACAAGGGACATAGCATATAGCCTATTTATTTTAAATTATTAAACCTATTTTAACAACAAACGTACATTATCATTGTCAAACACAATACGTCAAGATAAATGTCATAGAAATAATAAATAGGCCTACAAAAAATAAACTTAAGGTAGGCTAAGGGTGTATCTACCTTATTTTTTATGTAAGAGCTAGCACTGCCATTTGTAATTTTAATGTGTCTGGCTAGCTATTTTTTAACAGTTTATTGTTTAAAAATAATAATATTTGCTTGATATTTCAAACTGGTATTTCAAAACGATAATATTTTAATGTCTTATTTATAAACATGCTGGTTTGTAGATCAAACAGTTTTACAGTTTGCTGCTCATTATTTCCCTGGCCTACAGTGACTAATAAATCGCAAGTGTCGCACATTTACAGAAAACAACTTTCACGTTGAAAAATGAGGTGGATAGCATATTTTATGTATTGATAGTAGCCTATATATTGATAATCAAAGGAAGACATACAAAATGCATAGTGTTGTTCGGCATATTTTCTTCAAAAAATTTCTGTAATTTCTTCAAAATGTAACTTTGCCTCTGCAATATATTCCTACAATGACCATTCTTAGCAGATGTAATCAAGGACAGGATATATATATATACTTATATATATGCCCACCCTACAATACCATTTTACAGATGCATTTAAGTACATCCTCAAACTTGTCTTATAATGTACAACTGATATAAAAACAAAGTAATTCCTTTGATTCTTGTTTGCTCTCATTTGTCACATTACAGAAGTTAAAACGCACCAAATTCTATTTCATGTTCTCTATAATATGCAAATATTAAAATGCACATGTAAGGCTTTGAAGTCAAGGCAAATGTAAATAAAACGTTAGAAACCAATGATCTCAGGGAAATAACCTTTGTGTTTCTGTGAACAGAATCATGAGTTTGTGGACGAGCGTCTGTATGAACAGGGGTACCTCCAGACAGCCCTGCAGAACTTCCCATCGCAGAGTCCATCTCTCTCCAGTGAAGAGGGCGTCACGGGGACCTGCTGCTCTCGGAGAACCAAGAAGAACATCCAGGCTCTCAATGCCACACACACACACTCACACACGCACAACCTACAGGAGCTTAGCGCCTTACACATCCATTGTGGGGAACAGCAACCACTCAACACCAGGTAAACACGGAGTCCTTACTGTTTTTATTGCAATTCAATTTTTTATATATATGATGGTCACATGACATTTGTTAGAAAAGAGTAGACATGAAACAGAAGTTGCGATAGTCTTTTGTGTGACATATCGAAATGTAGGGCAGGGCTTGATTTTGTCTATCAGGAATTTATTAGATGTTGTAGTTTCCAATTGCTGGGATCTCATGAGTGACAGGTCATCCCGCCCTCACACTAGTAAACGTCATTAGAGAAGAGATGAGATGTTGCTGCATGAGGGAGGGGAAGATTATGAGGGTACTTTTTTATGATTTATGAAGTGCACATAAATCACTTACAATAAATACTTTGTCCATTTTGATTTCATGGTGACTAACATACTTTTTAATGCTTTAGATTTGATTGTTCGCCCTGTCAAAACTATGAAAAACCATTATAAAAAATATGATTGACTAAATGTAAAATCTATGACAATTTAAACGAATAAAAATAAACATCAACCATTTTAACAAAGGGTCTATAAAAGTCATATAGTCAATTTCAACTGAACATGAGGGTTAAAAGGTCGATATCACATGTGAACAGCCTCTTTTGTGTGTCATTTCCAAGACATAATTTCTGTCAAATAAGGCAAGGGAAAATAATTAGATTCATTTGTGTGTTTAGGATGTATGCTATCTATAAAAGTATAAAAGTCTTAGTAGAGTAATCAACAAGTGAGGGTGTGATAAGCGTTCTAAAACCTCTGTCTCTTTCTCTCTGTCTCAGTCGTTCCAGTCTCAATCTGATGTCGGATGAATCAGGGAGTCTGAACTGCAAGAGCAGTGGACTGGTTACCACGGCAATCATCAGTATCCCAACCCCTCCCTCAAACAACTCTCGAGCCAATCCTGACGCTCCTCCCCCTCCGAACCCAGATGCTCCGCCTCGTCCGAACACTGGCTCTGATGTGGTGAAAATCTCTGCTCTGTAGGAGAAAACAGAACTCAGGAAGAGAAACTGATGAGTAGCCTGCCCCCTAGTGGGAGATGGAGTGCACTGAATCAGACTCAAGAAATAAAACAACAATGATGCATCTGTGTAATTGAGAGAGAAAGGACGACCATGAGTATTCAAACACTCTCCATCAAGACTGATAAAGATGAGGGTGTCACTGCAGTGTCACTGTGCATAAAACATTTCTCCTTTTTCCTCTTAGTTTACCGTCGGGTCATACTGTTTTTTAAATCGTGAAAAAGATTCATATTTTGACTAGAGATGGAGGCAAGAGGTCAAGTCCTGTTTGTTTATTATCTGTCCGTTAATCTGTTCCAACATCGCAGACAGCCTCTCAAAGCCTCGGCTTTCTACATCCCACTAATGTTGTTTTGATCTAGAGTAATTCCTAAAGGATAAGAGCAAGTCTGAGTGAGACTATATGAGGGCGACAGTGTTTCTTAGACCATGCTAAGTTTTTATTTTTGGAATATTTGGTCAGAGATAGGTCTAACTTGAATGTTTCTGCCCCGCGTGTATGTGTGCGTGTGTGAATTACAAAAGCGTCCCTCAAACTTTCAGCCTCTCACACAGTTCGTGCCTCTCAGGGGGAAGAGAGTTTCCTTCTTCTTTAAGCCACTGTCTCTCCACGAGTCCAAAACGTTGAGCCGACTTTGTAACGTTAGCTGACCTATAAAACATTACTATGTAATATAGAACCAAAAAAAAAAACAAAAAAAACGAGAGAAAGAATCATGAAAGTGTTTTTAAAAACTCTGTGACTACAAGCACAAGGTGTCGCTGAGAATTTGTGACTACAATGTGTATCAAGCCTTGGTTTAACTGTGAATATTGTTGATAGAATATTTTGTAATATTTAGCCATTGTTTTGGCGAAACCAGAGCAGCTGCCTACCCCGCCCCTTTTCGTCCACCCCGCCCTTTTATGTATGCCCCGCCCCTTTCCTCTGTCCACTGCTGACTTGCTTCCCGTAGTTGTTCTGATCTAAGTGTTATTGTCATTATCGCTCAATGGGTATTTAAAAAAAAAAAAACGTGTCTAGTTTGTGTAAAACTACATGGGTAGGAAACTTTTGATGTTTGTGTTTTTCATTAACAGTGAATGTTTTCGTTACCTCCAGATTTTCAGTCATACATTGCTGTGAGAGGAGAAACCGTCAACCGTACAAACCAATTAGAGAGATTCTCCACCTCTTTTCTCTCCTTCCCAACTCCCTCCTTTTCTGTCTGTGTCTTTTTTGTCAGCCATGCTCAGGAGAATGGCACTGCCAATGAGATCAGTCCAAATTTGTTGTCAGGTAGTGGAAAGACCATTTCATCTGTGTTGTTTACAATTCCCAATCCTATTCTCAAAACTGCCAGCAATCAACCACATGTCCCCCTAAGCTCTGCTTTTTGTATCATAATCCCCATCCCAGGACTCTAAACCCCACCCATCTCCTTAAACCCCACTCACTTGTGCCTCTTACACCAGCATACATAGGAAGTGACCCCCCTCCCCTCAGGACGTTATTGCTCCAGGGCCACTGAGTTTTAGTGTTCAGTGCAATGCAACACACACTATCAACACATTTAATCTTGGTTTTGGCCCCTTTTAGATAGAATAAGCCATATTTTCCAGAAGAGAAAAAAAAATCTGATTTAATAATTGCATAACAGATAAATAACCTATACTTGAACTTTAAAGCCGAAGTGGATGTCCAGTTACACAAATGTGAAAACAGTTGTAATTTGTTGGACATGACAGCAGTATTACAGGGAAAAGCACATTGTGATATTTAGGAATATCAGGGTATCCGGCCCACACCATTCTTGTGAAACTCTTATCAGAATGTTCTTTGATGTCCCATGTGATCATATGACTATCCTGTTTGTTGTACATAACAAACCTCTAATGATCCTCTTTTTATGGTCCCAAATGATGTTTGGTCCCTTTGTGATTTACATAAGTGTACATAATAGATGGGAAATATGGAAATTGTCTAATGTTTAATTAATCAGAAGGGAAGGTGTGGCCAATTTATTCTAAAGATTAAGATAATAAATGTTGAGTAGTGGATCGCCTTGTGGTCAGTGGCGAGCAGTAATGTGTTCGATTTTCTTTCTTTTGCTTCGTCTTTACATCCAGCCCAGCAGAGGACACTACAAAACCATCAATGTAATAGAAGTAAATCTAGAATAATAGCAGCTTTGTAATCATCCATATGTGCAGTCCATTCAAATGACAGAACTGGTTGTTTTGAATATATTACCAATTGGAGATCTGTATATGCGCATCTGCATACCTGTCGAGGGTCTTCTTTCTTCCTCTGTGTGTCTGTGCTTGTTTTACTCTTTTACTCTCTTTGCTTTTTTTTTTTTTTTTTTTTTTGAGATAGTCATGTTGTTCTACTCAGCAGATTCCTGTTCACTGTCCGATGTTCAATATTATTTATGATCTTGTCTTGTGTCACAGTTGTGAAAAGCCTGATAAATGAATTGTATCTGCCACAAATCCATCTTCTGTTTATTCAGTTCCTCTGACAATGCTGGCGACCGTGATCTGATAGCAATGATAAAATCACATAAACAATATTTTGGAGCTGAAATAAAGTATAGATATGACATTACAACTAATAGATATTTCATCAGTCAGGATGCAACAAGCTGCAGCTGAAAAATAAATTCAACTCTGCAGGGTCTTTCAGACTCTCTTAAAATTTATCTGAGCACCTACAATAAATTATTATATGAAAATATCGTCCATCATTTTAAACACAATATGACTTGCTACAATTCCAATTGTCTCTTTTCATCTCATTAGCCACATGCAGCTTATGGAGATATGAGCCATTCAGGTGCTTTTTTGTTTATTTAGGTAGAAAAAAAAAAAAAGTAACAATAGAATTTCATTCTATTTTGGACATTTACATTATGGGTTGGTATGTCTGTGGACTTTACGCAACTAATATTTTATTAAACATTATCTATTTATGTTTTACTCACTAACATTTTGCAATGCAGTTTACAGTGTGCTTTATGGATTAATAGCATATTTATTAAAATACCTTTATATGATTGTGTTCTTAAAATGATAAAGCCTTGTAAAATGTATCTTAAAGGGACAGTTCCCCCCAAAATGCAAATGTGGTCATTCATTTCTCTCCCTCAAGTTGCTCAAAGCCTGTATGATTTTCTTCTGTAAATTATAAAAGAAGTATTATTTTGAAAAATGTTAACCAAACAACATTTTATTGACTTCCATTCTATGGATAAAAAAAAGAGAGAGACTTTTCTCAAAATATCTTGTGTTCCACCTAGAATGACATAAAGATGAGTAAATGGCAAACTTGTCATTTTTGTGTGAACTATCCCTTTAAGAGCATCTCATAGAGTTGTATTTATATTGCTTTTGATTAACACTTAAAAAGTTGATAAACAGCCACAAATATTAACGTTTAACATATCAGTACATGTACATTCAAATATAAATATATTAGTTTCATCTTGACACATCTCACTTGAATGTAAGTTCAAGTTCAAGACCTTTATTTGTCCCAGAGGGGCGATTAGTTTTGCTGCAGTACACTATAAAAATTAATATGCTTTATCTAATCAATAAAATTGTGACAACAGATTACAAGCAATATTATTAATTAAATTGAACAAATTAGAATTGAGCAATAATTAATCAAATTAACTCCTTAAAAAGTTGTAAAGTGAGTAAAGTTTACGCCCAAAAATGTAATAAAAATGTCTGAATAACACACAGACGTCAAAGATTAAGAACTATTTATATTTTATTGCCAACATTGAAGACACCTGATGTTAACAAGCAGAATTACTGAAGGAGAAAACCGTAATTTTAAAACAATCCCAAAACAAACACCGCATAATAGTGACTTAAATGTAAGTTTTCTGTTTGTTTGTTGTTGTAAGTTTTACTCATTTTAAATGGTTAACTTTTGAGGAATCAATTTGATTAATTTTCACTCAATTCTAATTTGTTAAATTTAATTAATAATATTGCTTGCAATCTGTTGCCACAATTTTTTTGATTAGATAAAGTGTATTCGTTTTTACAGTGCCAGATGAAAATAAAAATTATAAAACACAACATTTAACATTTAATTTCAAGTATGTCTCATGTGCAGACATTACCTATTCTTTACGGAGTAAGCAGAGAGATCGCAAAGGGTACAAAGGAAAATTTAAATCTGTTTGTTTTGGCTGGCTGACTGAAGTGAGAACCAGAAGGCAGTAAATAGGCCAGTGAAATAACAGCATATTAAACAAATCAGCCACATCACGGAAAAAAAAAACATGTACTTTACGAGCGTTTAGGAAAGTTTCAAATCAAGGAGGCCCATTGCTTTAATTGCTCCAGTCAATCGGGATGCAGGCTGTGATTCAAGAGTGTGTTCGGGAGCACTTTGTGGGGTTGTGAACGCAGCTGCAAAACTTAGGCTATCCGTAAACATTTCAATCATTTTCAAGATAAACAAACAAATAATAAAAACCAATTTTGAGTGTTTTAAAAGTCATAGAAATTAGTTCTTACTTGATATCTGCAGTCCTCACACATGTAGAGCACGAGGTTAATAAACAGCGGAGCCCAGAACACAGTGGCTGTGATGATGACGTAGCTGAACCTCCTCGCCATGCAGCCCTCCTCCCTCTTCTTATCCAGCTCGAGGGCCGCTGGGGTCAGACTCAGAATCAGTGGCGGCTTGTCAATAGGGGGCGCTGGGGCGCCGCCCCCATCAAGAAATATACATATACAAAAATTATATAAAAATACAACAATAAAATATTTTTTTCATACGATGTACCGGCTGGTAGTAAGAAAAGCATCAGCATTTAATAAAAACTGGCTTTAATCGGTCAACTATTTTCTATGTTTTTCAATGTGTTTCATTGGGACGCCGGACTAATGGGTGTCTATGTGAGGCTTTAAATTTTCGTGCAACATGTGACCTGAAGCTGGCCTCTAATTGGTTTCTTAAAGATTCACCTCAGGGCGCAAGTCGTTGCGTCCCTGGCCAATCAGAATTTGATTCACGTTATTTTATCCAATATGATTGGTCTCGTCACCTGTCATTCAACTTCACGCTCTGGGCCATTCGAGCGCGCAGACGACACCATTTCGAAATTTTTTGTATAAATAATGGCAGCAGTTCATCCAAATTCTGTGATTTTTTTTTACAAAAACACCCTTTCACAAGGCTTTCGCTGGAAGAAAAAAAAAGATAAAGGATCTCGGACCGGACCAACCCGATTTACAAATTCAGCAGCAGGCCAGTGCTACACACGAAGCTTCACCCGCGCGTGTTATGAGAAACGGAGGTGGCTGGCTGGATGTGATATTAGCAATTCTCTGTTTTGTTTTCCCTGCCTTTTATTTCAAAGTGTCGGCACTGAAGTTTTGTGGACAACAACGGGGGTAAGAGACCTCAAACATCTCTCTGAAAAATGCAAACGTACTTCTTTATTAGTATGAAATGTATATAAAAGAGAGCAATATGTTCAAGTAGGAAACATGCTTTCTGGTACTTCTTTACTAGTACGAAATAAAAGAGAGCAACATTTAAGTTCAAGTCGGAAACATGCTTTTTGGTACTTCTTTATTGGTATTAAATGTAAATAAAGATCATACATTTATATTTAAGTAGTAGTCAACATGGTTTTTGGTACTGCTTTGTATTTATTTGCCCTCCTCAATAAAAAAATACAAATAAAAAATGCGCCCCCCCCAAAATAAATATCATCAGCCGCCACTGCTCAGAATACACACCGCACCAGCTAGGCCTATATGCTTTGTGCCGTGTGCTGATTCCCTGTGGCAGGTGCAAATGGTTGTTAAAAGGGCCACACGGTTCAATGGAGGTGTCTTCCAGTAACGTTTAAACTTCAAACCTGTGTCAGTTATTTTGTTGGTATGCTGTGAATGATTAGGGTCATAGACAAACCCCAGAAGGGAAGCACACTAAAAGGGGTCCTTGCATGACCCTGGTGACCTTTGTAAATGCTGGCACATGACGTAACAGAAATTATCACATTGTCAGCGACAGAATTGACATGTTACATAACATGGGTTACAGAACTAACAGAATCCCACAAACCCAAATAATCAAAATCCATTTTTCTATTTTCTTATTCCTCATCTTGAAAGGAAAGGCGATGGCCAAGAATCTCTCCATGCTTATGAGCAGGAGCGTCATAAACTGCACATCGCTGCACAGAGAGAACGTGAACTGCTGCAGGCAAAACGGAAAGAGCCCAACCGAGACTCCAATTAAAGATAAAAACACCGGTGAATCTAAAGAACATCTGAGAAGAGAGGATAAATTCAACAGCAGCTAATAGATGGATGTTTGCAAACTTTTGCTTCTAAGAACAGCATATAAAACCAGCACGGTTCTGAATAAAAATGTCAAACTAAGGAGAAAGGAATTAAAGATCAGAAAGAGTGTGCTGGATGGCTCATTCCCAGATGCTGTACTCGCATAGGCGTTATATTTCCCATCACATAAACTTGCATGTTGTTCAACCTGTCTGACTGACCTACATTGATGATACAGGTGTAGTTTGGGGTTTGAATGAGCTTCTGACTCCCCCCTCCCTTCTCATCCTAAGAGACCTTTATTTTCAAGTGTATTCCATAAGCAACAGTT